AGAAGTGTTCCAGATAAGAAGCCAAAAGAAACATAACAACTAAATGTAGTAATACTTAGCTGTAGAATGGATCTTGTGCTGGATCATGTATTAGGTGAACTATCAAAATTGGTGTATGGATAGAATAGAAAAAAATGTAAATTTATGAAGTTAATAGCTGTACTGAGGTGAGAATATCTTTATTTGAAGTATTTATGGGTGAAAGGCCAAAAGCATAACTTTTGCTTTGTGTTCAGAAAACACAAGGATGTGCCCACATTTAGTTACTTGTAGAAAGAGAAATCATGATGATAAAAGCAAACAGGGCAAAATGTTAATAGATGAATTCAGATGAAGAGTTTTATTTTTCCAACTTTTTTAGTTTGAAGTTATTTTAAAATAAAAAGTTAACTTTAAAAAAGCAATTAGCTTTAAAACAAATAAAAAATCCTGAATGGTATCATGGTATTTTACTCTGCTTATTAATTCTAGTCAGAGATAATTTAGTAACTAACATACAATAAACCCTTCTTTGCCATAGATTGATTTTTCAGTTTTGTTCCAAAGAAACCTAAATGTTTGTGATTAATCACACATAGCCAGTCTAGAAATGTATCAATGTGCCTAGGTGCAAATAGCATAGACACTGACCATAATATCCACCAAAATAGAATCTGTAAAACTTTTGTCATATATTTATAGCTTTGTAAACTTACATTGACACTTTTTTCCTAGTCCAACATCCACATTTCAACTATATATACACAGGTCTACATGTTTTTTCATGCACTTGCTATCTGTAACCTCCATAAAAATTACCTCTTCTGTGAAGCCATTTTAAATACACCAGCAGGGAGCTAGCCTCTTTTCCTTTACCATGTGCTAGTGGTCTTCCACTTGCAACCCGTTACACTCTCATCTCCCTAAACTATCATTCCTATGCTAAACTGAGACTTCCATGCATCATCTGACAAAACATTTCAATTACCATGTGATAGAACTATCATTAATGCCTTGGCCTATAATAAAATAAATTTATGCAAATATTAGTGTTTTTTTAAAACTTGGTATTTTTAAAGTACATGGAAATCTGAAAAATTAAACTTTCAATGATAATATTTTGAACAAAAATGAGAAAATAGTACAAAAATCTTTACAACCAAGATTTTTTTAATTAAGTAGAGAACCTTTATGAAATGCTGGGTATAGATAATTAAAAACTGCCTCTAGCCAGGCGCTGTGGTACTTATCTATAATCCCAGCATTCGGGAGACTGAGGAAGGAGGATTAAAAGTTCCAAGTAGTGTGTGCTACACAGGAGGTTTCAGGTCAAACTGGGCTACAGTATGACCCTGCCTAAAAAAAACAAAACAAAAAAACTTGCCTATAAATAATGAGGTAGATGAGTTACAGTGAAAGAGAGAAGAGACTGGATATCCACTGATAACAAAAGACTGTGAAAAAATCAGCATTTACATTTCAATATTAAAAACAGTTTCTCATAAACTCCTTTATCAAGGGAGAGAGGAAGAGTAATACTCATTTTTTAACAAGTTTTACCTCATAAAATTAATGAAGCAACAAAGTATGCAACATAGTAAGACCTTATTCATTTCCCGTTCAAATCAGTCTTTTTTCCCCTAAAATTAAATTCTGCTTATAAAAAGTCATTTCAAGAAAACAAGAACAAACTTAATAGTGACGTGAAGAAATTAGTATTTTATTATCTAATACTTTTCAATGCTCTTAAGGTTTAAATGTATACATAGTAGTAAGACTCAGAAAAAATTTTTAAAACTTCCGAAATATATCATTATTAGGCGTGGTATAAGATTTTTAAGCCATCTGAGAACACAGCCTCAAGTCTACTGCTATACATCTGACTTCAGTATACTTAACCCACACTTTCCTAAAGATACAGGCTTGTACCCATTAGAACATATATCACGATGCTTAGCTATGTACTTACCAGTCTGTCCCCACAAGTTAAAAGTTACATGAGGACAAGATTTTTATTTTTGTCTGACCCACCCTCAAAAAAAATCTAGTATGATTGATAAAAGCATGCTGAAGCAACTATGCCACCTACCTGCTTTTAACAGATGCCTGTTAAAAAGCTGCAGAAAACTCATCTAATCCCATTTTTTAAATAGAAAAATAAACATGACATCTAGAGAAATTAAAGTGACTGTCAATGGGACAGTGAAGACCAGAACTTATGTCATTCATTTTGCTTTTTATTATACCAACACTGGGTTTCCTTTCCAGGACTTTTGCAGAATATACACGTTTAATGCATCCAAATAATTTTCCATTCCCTAGTGAGCTGTCATGACAGTTAACATCAAAACAAAAGACTGAAAAAATAACATGCTTAATAAGATAGAAATGCTAAATACCCTGTTTTGATCTTTACACACTATATATTTATCAAGTTATTACTGTGCCTTATGAATATGTACAACTCTGTGTTGAATGAAAATAGGCTTTTAGTCATCTTTTTGAATTGGGGGGTTAAAATAAAGGTTGAGTTAGCCAGGCATTAGTGGCTAACGGCTATAATCCTAGAGATCAGGAGGATATCAGGTTTGAAGCCAGCCCCTGGGAAATAGTCCTCGAGATCCTATCTTGAAAACACCCATCACAGCAAAGGTGGAATGGCTCAACTAGTAAAAGTGCCTGCCTCGAAAGCATGACATCAAGTTCAAACCCCAGTGCCGCAAAAAAAAAAAAAAAAAAAAGGGTGACTTAAAGAGTCATGAAAATGATTTTTCAGAGAAAAGGCATAAATGTTTCCTAAAAAGAGATGCCCATGCAGTACTTACACTTTCTTCAGCTATTCCTACTAAGCCTTTAAAGGCACTGCCTCTATTTTTCCCTTAATTCTGAACTACTGACTATAGAACCCTAGGTTTAGCAAAACCAATCCAAGAATCAGCTGATTCCCGAAGGCTTCCATCTGCCATTCCAAACTTAAAGCTGGGGGCACAGTTTTTGGAGTAGGAGACAACCTCACAGGTGTTTCAACATTGCTTACACAACCTGCTTCTCTTGGGACTTCCCACACTATCATCTCTGTGTTGCTCTGGGTTTCTCAGACATGTCTTTCTGCTGTTCCCTCCCAAAACTTTTACTTTTACTGTGCTGCTTGAAACCTCGCTCTACTATGAACCAGCTCTCCTAATGCTCAGCTTCTTTACTAAGCACTCCTGCCATCATCTCACGTTGAGGATACTGCTTTCCCTGTGGCACTTTCTCCATGGAGGCTGCCTATTCTACATTCCTGGGGACAGAGAGTGTCCATACCCTCTGCTCACCAATGCTGCTTTTAGACTATTCACATGCCTTGACTAATCGGCTATGCCACTCACTACCCTTCTGTGCTACTCTTATCTATTATCTATCAGTTTCCTTACTACCCTTTAGCAAAGATTCTTGTCCCCATTTCTTAATCTTTTCCATCAGAAGTCCTGCCATTATTCTGGATGATGATGCCACTTCAATGCCACGTGAAATGCAATTCAACCTCTCGGCCTCCAAATTTACTTGTCCTCACTTCTAACAACCTTCACCCAACTCTACTATAGGCCTTACCACTTAAAATCAACCTAAACTTCTACTGTTCTGAAACTCTAAATTCAACAGACAGCATGCCCACCCATGCACATTTGCAATCTTATTTTGACCACAACATTCTGGCAGTCACATTTTTAATCCTATCATTTTTGGTTCTTAGACCTAATTTGGAACTAGAGTTCATTGAACACATTCTACTCTCCTCTTAGCAACTCCCTCACTTCCTCAAGTGCCACAGACCACCACTTCAAACTACCTCTTCCTATTACCCTCTAGTGCCCACTTAACAAAACACAACCACCTTAAATAAAGACAACCATCCACTTTTGCTGGGCATGGCGGTGCACACCCATAATCTTAGCCACTAAGGAGGCAGAGATCAGGAAGATCTCAGTTTGAGGCCAGCCTGGGCAAAAGAAAGACCTCCATCTTGACAAACAATTCCAGCCACACAGAACTAGGATCATGGTTTGAGGCTGGCCCCAGGCAAAGCCTTGGCAAAAACACAAGACCCTACCTGAAAAATAACTAAAGCAAAAAAAAAAGAAAGTGATAAGAGTACTTGCCTAGCATGTTTAAAACTCCAGTACTGACACAACACACACACACAAATATCTGCTTTCTTTGAACCCAACCCAGGCCATTTGGCACAAAGAAAAGTCAGGGGTTTGCTCAGTAGTAAAGCACTTGCCAAGCATGTGCAAGTCTCTGGGTTCGACCCCCCCAGTACTCAAAAACTTTTAGAAAGTTATCCTATCACATAGACCATCCTTCATCCTTGACTGAACTCTTAACACACTGCCTTTATTTCCCTAGTCAGAATTCCTACTAAAATACCTCAACATGCACTTTTCTAAAACATGTCTACATTCAATACGCCTTATCTTATACCTCTCATTAGAAAAATAATGTACTATACTGAAATATTTTTAAATGCTACAGAATGTTTATTCTTTACAAATTAACTATGAAGTCATTTCTAAGATAAAAATAAACACATCTGAAAACATTGTTTTAATATCTCTTTTGCTTTTCATGTTATATTGGGAAACACTGAATTAAAAAAAAAAAGACATTGAAGCCAACTGTAATAAAAAATTTTTTTCTAGTTCCATGATGCAATATCAAAGTGACAAATGAGGGCTAGTGGCCCAACAGATAGAACACCTGCTTAAGCAAGTGCAAGGCCCTGACTTTAAACCCTGGTACCACCAAAAAGAAAAACAGTCACTAAAAGTAACTTAAATATTAAGAGCAAGGGTGAGTGGTGAGTGCAAGAGGGGTGGAAAAAACACTGAAAACTCTTAACTGAGATAGTGGGAAAAAATTCTAATTAATATGACATAGTAGACACTATAAACATAACATAGGACACAAAATGTAGTGGGTGTTTCACGATAAGTCAAAAAGCAGCATGACTGCACAACAGTGCATAAATTGATTACCTGAAGTTTTACTCAGCTCTGCTGAAAATATAGCAGATGGTGATCTGTCCTCTTTTTCTGAAGGTAGTTTTTTCTCAGCTTCTTTCTTAAGAACTTTGGGTTTAACTATGCTGCCTATCTCTGTTTGAGTTGCCAAAGCAGACACATCTGGAGGCAGCAAGGGTGCCTTTGATATTTCGGACCCATCTTTGGAGAATTCATCTGAAACATGGATTTTATCTTCATCTTTAGGGTGTATGTTCTTGAAAGAAAGGTCACGGGACAATTCTGAACAAGGCATTGACCTAGCTCCATCCTGGACATAAGCAACTTCACTCTTGGGAGATACTTCTAGGTCAGTGTATTCCCTGGCTAATTTAGGGGAAGAATCAGTTTTAGAACTGACAAAGGTAGGGAATTCATCTATAATCTCAATTGGAGATGAATCTGAAAATGTTTCACTTTCTCTATTTTTGCTTCCTTAGAAATAAGTAAGTCATCATTTGAATAAACTGCAGTATTGAGCTCCTCCATCTGCAAAGGAATTTTCTCCTTTTTGGTCAATGTTGAAACTTCACCAGGTGATAGGACATCTTTTGTGGTATATAAATGGGGCTGAAAAGACTCCAAATATGGCTTCCCTCCTTCAGGAAGTAAAGCACTGAGTTTTTCCTTATTTTTGTGTTCTATTACTGATTCTGATGACACTTCAATGAGATTTTCTTTCATGAGCATCACAGCTTCCTCTTGTGTTTGTGGGACTTCAGGAATCGAATCATCACTAAATAAGTCAACTGGTTCAGAATCAGGTGAGGAATCCTCAACTAACTCAGAATGATCAGACATTGGCTTTTCAACATTTGCTATTTCTGAATAATTAGAGAAACCTGGACTTGGTTCAGTAGAGGGCTTTGTTTCTTTAATTAAGTCACATGCAATAGATATATAAGGGGCATCTGCTTCCTGAACAGCTGCATTAATAGTTTCAGACTGTTTAATTTCTTCCTTTATTCCTGAAACTTTTTTTACATTCATGGCCTCTTCATATGGTGGGGGATTTTCAGATTCAAGCTTCATACTGTCATAATTAACTGAAGGAGGAGCTTCTAATGGTGAACTGGGCTGCACTACAGAAGCAGCAGCACTAGGAAGCAGAGAACTTAATGGTGCTTCCATAACAATGTCAGGCAAAACTGGTGAAGGAGTTGCTTCAGATTCTTCAAATGATGGGCAAAGCTGTGCTACAGGGTGGAGTGACTCCTGCACAGTTTCTGATGTTTGGACCAAGTCCATTTTTGTTTCATAAACAATTTTTGTGCCTGTAGCTTCATTCAATTCACTTTCACATGCTTCCTGTACTAAATCTGGGGTTAGACCTTCAGGCATATTTGCTACTACTGCCTCGGTCACCTTTGACAAATTATCTGTTGTGACATAATCTGTCTCATAATCCTGTGTGGCTACAAGGAAAGGATTTGATGTTTTGATGCTGGTCTTCTTCTCTGTTACAATTAGGGCCTTCTTTTCTTCTATTTTTTTTTCATCAGTCTTATTTTCTGAAGTATGATCTTCTAACAAAGGAAAAATGTTGGTTGCAACACTCTCAGTTGTTGCTGGGTTGAAAGGAGCACATGTAATATATGCTCTTGAACCATCTTTTACAGCTTCTGGTGTACTTGGAAAGGAAGCATCATCAGTACTGCTTTCACTATCTTTTTCAGGATTTGTTTGTACAAGGCTCTCTGCAAAACATTTCTTATCCACTTTACTTTCCGATTTGCTTTCTATATTACCTCTAGCAGCCAACACATCACCATCTCCCTTATAAGTATCTTTCACTTCCTTTACTCGCTCAAATGGTTTGAAGTCTGCATATTCTTCCCTCATTGGGGCTTCTACTGCAACTCCCATTTCATTAAAACTATCCTTTGTTTTTATTGGAGATACAACTTTGTCTTCTTTAACCAGTTTAGTAAGGGCTATAGGTGATTCTTGTTGATTATGAAGGACGGTGTTACTAACTAAGTTTTCTTCATCTTTACTCTTCATAATTATTTCTTCCCTAGGTTTTTCTACTAGTTTGGCAGATTCTGCTTTTGATCCCATTTCTGAGTATTCTAATTCTGAAAATTCTGTGAAATCTCTATCTACAAATGGATTTTTTGCATTTGAGAACTCTTTAGAAGCTTCATTTAAAGTTTCTTGAACTGTTCCTTCTGTGGGTGATACCACTGGTAAACTGCCAAGGTATTCATGTTCTTTAAGAGAAGCAGCTGAGAGAGGAGACAGAGAAGGAAGAGAAGCAGCAGTTTCAAGTAGGACAGATGGGAAATCCTCTTGACCAGCTGAAACAGTGTTACCTGGCTGCTCCTTCAAGTCCATAGTTATTTCTGTGGCCATGGACAGAAAGGAAAGTTAGAGAATGCCAGTGTTCTCAGAGTTAATGCAAGTTTTATGACAGACTCATAAAATAGTGTTAGTAAAGACTATCAACTAAAATGAAATGTTAATAGCATTTAATTAATAAATAAGCAGACTTGGATTATTACTGAAAATATGAAACTACTGTCAATGAAACATGTGCATGGCTATTGCACAGCATGGTGACTATTGTGAATAATGTACTGTATTTCAATATAGCCAAGAAAGAATATTAAATATTCTCAGAAATGAGAAGTATCTGAGGTAATAGATATGCTAATTAGCCTGATTTGATCATTCCACAATGAATACATGTACTGAAACATCAGATTGTACCTTATAAATATATACAATTATTATTTGTCAATTAAAAAAACTAAAAAATTGTGTGTGGCTTCAGAGGCAATTTCATGCTATGCAAAGACAAAAAATGTGAGAAAGATCTCATGTGTTACTAACTCATAAAAGCTACTTTAAACTAGTTTTAGAAGATTTGAGAAGAGAGTTTGGTTGACAGCATAGGAAAAGAGCTGGATAATTAAATGCCAGAGACTGGTATTTGTTTATATAGCATTTGGTGCTAGGAAGGTAAACTGTATTTAAGGAAGTAAATTGTTGACATGTAAATCAAGGGTCCAGGAATCCCTTACATTAGTAATTAAGTCCTGCTCATTTTTCCCTTGGACATAGCATAAAATGCAAATTTCAACTTTTTCAATTGAGAAATACCCTTGGAATCATGCTAATTTTCAGTAAATCCAAACTACTCCGTATGCAGTTAAACATAACTAGAGTTAAAGTTAGAATACACAGAAGATAAAGGCTGGCAGAAGAACTTGCCTGCGGAGGAGTGTATCACAGGCTCAGATGCAGCAGGAAGAGCAAAAAGGGTCTCATCTGAAAAACAAATAGAATATAACCTCAGCAGAAATAAAGACAGGTTGGAAGAAGACTAAAGATAAGAGGAGCAAGCAAGGGTTCAGTTTTTAATGAGTTGTTAACAACAACAACAAAAAAAAGCTTTATCTTTACAGAAAAGGCCAAGATAGAAAGGTAGAAATAGTAGGACCATTAATTCAGTTAAATCATCCATCACATATATTAAAGTTTACCAAATGCTATTCATAGAACCTATCATTTTTCAAGAAGCAATCTAACATGTTTATATAGAAGAAACTTCAGGAACCAAAGCATCTTTAAGATAGTGTTCTCACTTAACACAATGCAGCCAAAGCTTTTACTTACATTTGTAGTCTTGTCCTAGTCAAGCCAAAAGTTAAAAAGATGAATATGAATAGACTTGTTTAGTCTCCTGTTACTGGCACATGTTCAATTTAAACTCTCAGAGAATTATGTATTTTTCTCTTAAATTCTAGGCTGCCTATCTTGAAAGAAAAAATTGCAAGTCATTGTACATTGTTCTCTGAAGACATTATCCATATGCCAGAGTAACACACACACACAAAAATACTTATCAATACTTCTAATCTGTTTTAATATTAATATTGACTGAGAACTACTTGTTATTCTAAGCACTTTAATTCATTGTAAGTGAATTCACCAAAGAATTCATTTTACTCCTGTAACCGTATGGTCATAATGGATATGTTGATATCCCCCTGACCCCTTAACAGATTTAAAAAGAAAAAACTTAGTGAAAGACAAGTAACTCACTTAGGTAAATACAACTAGTGAGAGACTCCAGTAATTCAACTCTAAAGCCTTTCTTTCCTTTTTTTTTTTTCCCCTCAATACTGGAGCTTAGACTTGGAGCCTACACCTTGAGCCACTCGGATCTTGCAAACTATTTGCCTGAGCTGGCTTTGAACCACGATCCTCCTGATGTCTGCCTCCTGAGTAGCTAGGATTACAGGTGTGAGCCACCATGACACCTGGCTCTAAAGCCTTTCTTAATTGAAATATAGAGCATATTTCAATGTTCTATTTCTGTTCAAAGACAGAATGTTCTTATGTTGAGTCCCTAACCTGTATGCGATGCTGTATGGAGATAGGACATTTAGAAGGTGATTAGGGCTAGATGAGGTCATGAGGGCAGGACCCTGGTCTGATGGAATTAGTGCCCTTATAAGAGGAGACACCACAAAAGTTTGCAGTCTGTCTCCTCAAGCACATTAAGATCATGACAGCACAAAAGCAAACTAACAAATCACCAACAAGTCAAAAGAGGCCTCAGAATAAAACCTACCTTACCAGCACCTTGATTGTATTAGAATTGTGAGAAATTTGTTGTTTAAGCCACCTAGTTATGATATTTTAACATGGCAGTCCAAGTAGACAAAGCTTTATATATTAGTATATTAATTTTGTACACTGTCATTTTGTACCTGCAGGTAAAAGATCTTCCATTTGATACTAGAAAAAGGCCTCTAGTATAACTGAAATAGCCTGAGGGATGTCAGGAAGGTAATCCTTTAGCATACTCAATAAATTTGGACACGTCTATTTAGAAGGACAAGCTAGACAAGGCTGAACCAAAATAGATAAAAATAAAGCAGATGTAGCTACCATGAATATGGACTTGTTTTCCAAGTCCCCTTGATGAATGTCCAATAATTGTTGATAAATCTATACAGAGCACAATGTCGTATTTAAAGTATTCTTTAGACAAAGTGGTGAGAAGAAATTAATGTATTTAAAAGGGTCTCCTCAAGCGAGGAATGGGGGGCTGCATACTTGCAATCCCACCTACCCAGGAGGCCTAGGTGGGAGGATCAATTGAGCTCACAAGTTCAAGAACAACCTCAGAACATAGCAAGACTCCCCATCTCAAAAAACAAGTAAAAGGCCAGGCACCAGTGGCTCACATCTGTAATCCTAGCTATTTGAGAGGCTGAGATCAGGAGGATGGCGATTGGAAGCCAGTCTAGGCAAACAGTTTGCAAAATATTTGCTAACTCCAAAATAACCAGAGCAAAACGGACTGCAGGTGTGGCTCAAGAGGTAGAGTGCCTGCTTTGCAAACACAAAGCCCTGAGTTCAAACCCTAGACCCACCAAAAAACAAAACAAAACAAAACAAACAAACAAAAACACCCCACAAGTAAAAGTGTCTCTAATAATCTAAAACAATAGGTAGGATGGGGACACTCCCCCCAAACCAGTGAAGCAATGGTGTCTTAGGAAATGTTATAAAATGTATATGCCTATATACAAATTTCAAAAAGATAACTTGCTATGTGATCTTAGTTAAGCCGCACAATTTCTCAATTGTAAAGCAAGGGAACTTCTTTCTGCTAAAACAATGATATATGCTTATATAAAGCTGAAATTTACTTTTGTCACTGAAGTGTTCTGAGATACCTTGATGTTTAAAAAGAAAATTTTTGTTAAAATAAGATTAGGTTTCATCTTGTAGGGTACACTTTATGAATTTTCCATCCCTTGTACAAGTTCTACATGTACTAATCCTAAAAAAATGAGTATGTGAAACTGAAACAGTTTGATGGGAGGAACTCTCCACAGGGCCTGTTTTCCAAAGAAAAGTACTGTTTACAGAAACAAAACTTCCTAGGTGTGTTGTAAAACCCTTACTCAACAAGGCTTGTGTGTGGAAATCTAGTACCCAAGTCACATTCTGCTTTAAGAAGTAACAAATACAGATGAGTTAACAGTGAGGGGGAAAAAAACCCTAAGATTTAGGAGTCAAAAGCAGAACCAAAGCATTCATTTAGATGTCACAACAAATAAAAGATAAGTAAAAGATAGCCAGTTCTTATTTTAGAAAGTTTTTAAGTTGACATTTCAAAATATTCATTAAATTTCAAATAGAAAACAAAGTCTTCATTGTGTAAGTGGGTTAATCACAAAATAAAATTCTTAGAAAAAAATCCCAAAGAGGTCACTATTTGTGCCTTCAAGAACAGAGCTGTCAATCTCCTACTAAAGCAATCACACATCATGGAATGGAACTGCCTGGGTTCAAACTACACATCTACCACAATAAACTGTGTAACCCCAAATAAGCTATACTTAACTTTTCTGGGCCTATTTCTTTGTAAAGTAAGCATATTAGTATCTATCTCAAAATTCGAGGGCTGGAGGGAAAAGGAAAAGCAAATAGCAACTTGCCCTGAGTCACAGAGCTAAGCAGGAGGGCAGGATTCAAACTAATGTAACTCCCAAGTCCTTGTGTTTTAGCTTCTGAGAGATATGTTTGTGTTTACAAGTAAAGTTGTACAAATTCTTCTTGCTTATTGGCTCCCTCAAATTCTTCCTCCTAAAACAAGATAAAACTGTCATTCATCAAACTCTAATTATCCAAAATACTGGACTAATTAATTGCTTATATTTCACAATGTAATGACGTCAATGGGGGCCAGACACTGCGCAGGCCAGGCCCATTTGTTTTGGCTGTTCATCCAGTCATCAAACCACTCTATATAAAGTAGGTACTACTGGTACTCCATTTCACAGTTGAGGAAACAAGAGGCATAAGAAGGCTTAGTAACTTCCTCAGTCACAAACTGAAAGTAATGGATTGGAGAGCAAGAGTTTGTAAGCCTATGCCATTTTCTTTAATCACTCTGTAGTACCTCCTCTCCTGGATTTTATTTATGTACGTTTAGAAGTTTTAAATAGTCAATAAATAAAATTAAGGATGCCAAACAAAAACTCCATTCAACAATACTTATGCATCATAAACTGCCAGATTCTAAGCCTAAAAGTATCTAAAATTTCCAGGCCCATGGCTCACACATGTAATCCTAGCTACTTGGGAGGCTGAGATTGGGAGGATTGTGGTTCAAGGATAGCTAGGCAAGTATTTCAAGAGATTCCACTCCAAAGTAACCAGAGCAAAATGGGTTGGAAGTGTGGCTCAAGTGGTAGAGTGCCTGTTTTACAAGCACAAAGTTCTTAGTTCAAACCTCAGTCCCACCAAAAAAAACCCTAAAATTATTTATTTTGAAAAAAATTTACTGATTTTAGATTACTCTTCTTTTTCTGTAAAGATCCTGACTTTCACAAACAAATGATTTTATAATCAGGGGTATTATATAAGTAAAAAGCATAACACTCTAAATTACTGAGATATGTTATGTACATACCATTACATTATTAAGAAAAGGGCAAATAACTACCTGCTATGGAACTACTCATAATGCCAAATTCTAACTACTGAAGAAAATGAAAAATTTAATCATTGACTGGACATGGTGGCATATACCTATAATCCTAGCACTCACAAGGCTAAGGCAGGAGGATTACAAATTCTAAGGTAGCCTAGGTTATACACAGATACCCTGTCTGGGAGAAAACAAAATTCTAATCATCACTCTCACCTGTGCTACTTTACACAAACAGCATACATATGCATGTATGCTATATATTTTATGTATATATAAAGACAATTATATCCACACTAACTAAAACCATTGTGGCGTATTTAAAAAATAAGTTTTCACTAAACAATAGGTAAAAAGGAAGCCAGAACATTACTGTTATACTACTGCCATCAAATAAATATTCCTGAAAGGGAAATACTTATATTTTCTTGCTTAAACACATTTAACCCAATAATTCTTCATACATCATTTGTGCTGGCCAAAACTAATTCTTCTTAACTATACCCATGATTCCCCTTTCTGCGTATCTAAACTCATTAAACCACAAATGAGTAACTTATTCAAAAGTCACATAGCCAGTTAATGAAAAACTAGAAAATTATAATTTAACTGTCACTACAATAAGATATATACTTGTTTCCCAATAATACCCAGTAAAATGTACAGAATCACTAATGACAGTATGAAATGACAGTATGAAAGAGGAGCAGTCACAAAACAACAGTTTCCATATGATCCTCACATTGGTCCTAACACTAGACTGCCTTTCCTTAACGAAGCCTGAACCTATGACATTCAGATGGCTTCAGCCCAA